TGTTGAGACGGTTTAAGTTTCAGATTTGAAGAATAGTAATAGAGATGTCATTTTTATTTTCTTATGCTTGTTTGTCGTTGATGAATATACCACAAAATGACCTGTCAAACACAAGCTTACCAATACATTATCCTCCCCTAAAAACAACTGATTTCACATTGAAATAACTAAATTTAGATGCAAATCTTTGTCAAATGGAAAAATACTGAAGCTTTTTCTTTTTTTTTAATACTGAAGCTTGATATACAATTTTAGCGATTTCAAGTATGGGATGGACACAAATCTGGAGCAACTATTCAAATGTTTTCACTTTTGGAGACGTAACATTTTTTATAATATTTCAAATTTATGGATCAATTAGAAAATAGATTATTTAGAAAATAATAATGCTATGTGGGAAAATCAACATTTTATGATATATCATGTTCCTTTCTCAAATTCATGTGTTGAAACCATCTCCTTATCTAACCTTCATCTTTATGTGGTATTGAGTACTTCAGTGCATAAATTTTGTTTCTCACTGCTCTGTCATTTACTCTGGTTAGTTGATTAATCGACATCCAGTTAGTGAGATGGAGACGAGCATTACGCTCTTTCCAGACATGATAGATCGTTGTTTGGAGCACCATTCTTGTTAGAAACAAGTCGAGTTGGTGAAGCTATGTCCCATGTAGCACCGCAAGAGTCATGTGCCAATCCGGGTTTGCTTTTGATCTTAGCAGTTTCCTTACCATGTTTTTCCATACAGTGTAGAATAGGGACAAGCAAAGAAAAGATGATCTTTTGTCTCATCCTTCTCACTGCACAGTTCACATCCTTGTCTCATTCCCCAATTGTGCATTCTATCCCATGGGGTGAGGCTATTCATAGCTGTAGCCATGTAATGAAGAAGAAACAAGGCCACTTTACTCCAATCAACTTTATTTTTGCAAATTCAATTATGATTCCATGTTTTAGCTGCATAATAAAACTGTGTCGGTACTCACTGTCTCCATGCTTCCAGAGCATGACATCGTTTCCCAATTCAAACGCAGGAGCTGGTTCTTCAAGTATGTGGGTGTATACAGACTGAAACTTGCAACTTCGCTGGCCTCTAATAAACCACTCATCTTGATTTACAGCATCACATACCTTTGAATGGCGGGTCACTCCAAAGCACTAGTCCGAAGCTCAACATTGTTTGGGTGAGCCGAGTAGAAACACCTTATCCCTTCTTACAAATTGGCAAAATGAGATACATCTTACAATTCAAAACTATTATTGTGGCTTAGTTGAATCTTAGGTTATTTGGGTAACAAAAATTGAGATGTTAATTTTTAAAGGATATAGCATGTTTGGATGGTTCACTTAAGTAGAGCGATTATTTGTATGAGTGAATAAAAAAAATTACTACAACTCTCGCCCGGGTGTTTATTTTACCAGAATGAACATATTTTTATAGCATAAAATGTAATGGTTGCACACATATGCATCCATATGGACCTTTGTTTTTGATTTGTATTATATAACATTTATGAGAGATAGACAATTTTTATTTTTTTGCTATTTATTTGTTACTCGTGTTGTGTTTGGATATAAACCAATCAAAAAATATAACATATTCATTAATTACATAATCCGTGTTTTGATATATTTATCTTTAAACTAAAATATCAATTATTATTTTATGTCTATTAATAAATTTTTCTTTCCAAAATAAAATAGTTTATGTCACATAAAATTCACTTTTAATAAAATAAATAGATATTTATTTAATTTTTTATAACCCTAATAAATTATCTTCTATGTTTAACTTTGAGGAAATATTAAATTTAACTTAAATATTATATTTTAAATTTAAATATATATATATATATGTGAATAATATTAATCATCAAATTATTTAACATATTTTTGAAAATAACTTTATATGTTTTAATAAAACATTTATAGTTTATATTCTGCATAGGAAATGAATAATAATATATAATATTAAAAGTTTGTTTGTTACATTTTAAATAAATTTATTTATTTTTATTGTAAATATTGATTAAGGATATTAAATTTAGAGAATAATGGTAAGTTAGGCTATTGAATCATTTAAATAAATAAATGGAAATAAATGTAATACATTATTATTATTATGTATTTGAATTATGTGTTTGGAAATATATTTTTTCACAGATTGAAGCTAAAATTAAAAAAAAAATTAAAAAAGATTGAACCAAACTTTTAACCATATGCAAAAACCGGTTATTTTACATTTTTATTTTTATAATTTACACATAATTAATGTTGATTATCTAATAAATAAAAATTGACAATATTGTTATGGTAATAATACAGTTTAATGATGTGTTGTATAGTTATGGCAATATAATTAATGAAATAGTCAACTTGAGTAAAAATGGAAAGATAGTTAATGAATAATTTGTTGAAACAAGATGAAATTCTATTTTGTACTTCTATTTTAAGGGGGGGTGGTTATTGGGAAAAGAATTTTAAAGGAGTTATTAAATTTTGAGATTCGATTGTTATTGGTTTATGGATTTTTAAAATCTAAACAGAATCCATTGTTATTGGGATGATAACTTTTAAATTCCACTCAAATCTTTGTTATTGAAAATTTTTAGTTGTCATTGATTTTAAGATTCCATTAAAATCATTGTTATTGGGATGTATTTTTTTTTGTTTTTGCTCATAAGACTCAACTTTACTTAACTTTGAGAATATCACATATACTCATAAGATTTTGAAATCTATGTAATATAATAAACTCACATATAAAAACACACCAAATTGAAGAATGAAATAATAAAAATCACTACTTTAGCATAGTACAAATCACAACAATACATAGAAAATTAATATGGAAAATAATATTAAAATACTTAATGTTTAAAATAAATTTTATAAAATAGTTTCAAAAAGGATTTTTGAGTTTTAAGAAAAAAAAACTAGAAAACAATTTGAAAAGAAAAAATTGATTTTTTTTTATAAAAGATTGAATTTGAAAACATATATTTCGAAATTATAAAAAAACATTTTTGCCATTTTTTATTTCAAGAACTTTTTGTGACATTTAAAAAAAAAAGAACTACCCTAATTGAAGTTATTCTCTTTCCTTTACTCCTACCACCATTAATTTTCTACTTTAAAAGTTAATAACAATCAATTAAATTCTATACACAAGTAATGAAAATCTATGTAAATATATTTGATTAAATTTGTTAAATCTAGTTAACTTGTAAAATCCTCTCAACTACTATAATCATCAAATTCCACAAAAATTCATGTTCCAATAACCTCCCTAAATCATAAAACAAAACTTTCAAAATATTGCACTTTTACTCAAGATTCTCAAAATTCTCATAAAAGAATACTTTTTCATAGACTTCTTAAATATGGAAAACTCATTTGAACTATTTATAAATTTATCAAATCTATTGATTCTTAACATCAATCAACTCTATCTAAATTTATCTCCCACTAACCCCCCTAATAAGATAGAAGCTGTAATTAAATGAGTACAATTAAATCAATAAACTCGAATTAACATGTATTTTTGTTGTTGATAAATTGGTAATGATAATCCTACTTTTCTAACGTCAATATGTGAAACGGATGTGAAACAACTAAGAAATGAGTGGGTAATCAATCACATTTCGCTTTAGTCTCCATCACGGTGGATTCGTACGTGGAATGTATAACAAAACCATGTTCTTAATTAATGGGGTAAAAAGATGCAACACCTTTTTTGCAAGCCCTGTAATAAGTTGTAACAAACGTTTTATGAAAAGTAAATAAATTCTAAAATCAAATTGTATTATCCAATAAACATCAAATTAAAATATCTTTTTCGTGTAACAACAAAACCAGTGGGCAAAATTCTTACACGCGTATCATGTTGTTTGTTTTCTTCGTAAAAGCAAAACCGTAACGTTTGTAATTTGTTTTGGAAAAAGAGTTAGGAGCTATGTAGAACTTAACTACTGAATACTGTATTTTTACACGTAAAGTTACAGTCCAATCCGTATAGCTTCCCTAAAATCAGGACTAGAAAGACGTTTTGGTGAAACAAAAAGAGGCATTATAGGCACTACGTGCTGAACATGAACATAGCAGTTTTGCCTCGTGTGTAATTCACGTGCCACCGTTTTTTTTTTGCTTAATATTTTTATTTCACAAAATATAAAACTTCTTTTGGTTTGTTTATTTTGTCGGTATCTGGGTGGTTCTCGTGCATGTCTCCCACTTTTCATCTCCAAATTTTCCTCGTATCTCCACCCCTCTGGACCTCTGATAACACTCAATTACCCAAAGATCCCTCACATTTGTAATCTTCTTTTATGTGCTTTAATTTGAAATTCTAAACTAGTTACCTTGCATTGAGTCGTGAGCTCGTAATTTTGAGCATAGACAAAAGTGAGTGGTAAAAATTATTTCACCTAACGCAGCGATGATATGATGAGGATTGACATACGATAATGTGGAGATTGAAGAAGTGGGTTTGATTGAGTGAGACGTAATTACGAATATAGATAAAGGTGAGTGGTAAAGTTAGTAATATTGAAATGCATGGAGGGCAAAAGAAAGAGAGAGGAAATTGGCATTCCCGAAGAAGAACTCCCCAACTTTTGCCAAAACAAAATGCCAACTTCACTGAAACACACAACCTCCTTTCCACCACCATTTCTTGGTCTTTTCTTCTTTTTGGTAACACGAAAGCAGTAAAAAAAATGAAAACTTATAAACAAAGATACAAATCTCTAGTTAAAAAAATAAATATTTGTCGAGAAAGTAATCATATTTAAAGTCTTTGTTTTAAATCAATGTCATAAAGCCTGGAATGCACCAGTTTTTCCACCACTTTCTCCAAGAAACGCAAAACATTTAAATTATACCAACTCATTTTATGACTCAGTAGTAACTTCTTCCTTATAAATACAAATTCTCCACAACTCCTCTGAGTTCCACTTCATTCGTATAAATGCCACTTATACACATATTATAAAGGGATAATGAGAATCAGTTGTAATGGGTGTAGAGTCCTACGCAAGGGTTGCAACCAAGATTGCACCATAAGACCATGTCTTCAGTGGATCAAATCAGCAGACTCCCAAGCAAATGCCACACTCTTCCTCGCCAAGTTCTATGGTCGAGCCGGTCTTCTTAACCTCATCGAGTCTGGTCCTGACCAACATCGTCCCGGTATACACTCTGAAAGCAAAATCTTCCACTGAATTATATCTTACAATGTATTTGGGTTTACATTTTGCTACATGCACACACACACACAAATCACTTCCAAAGTTGGATTTTCCCCATATTTTGCTGTTTAATTCCATAACTTTCATCGTATTTTTGTAATCTCTAGCAATATTTAGGTCACTTTTGTACGAAGCGTGTGGTCGGATTGTGAACCCTGTGGAAGGTTCTGTGGGTCTGATGTGTTCTGGAAATTGGGCTCAGTGCGAAGCAGCCGTTGATGCCATTCTCAACGGCTTACCCATCACTCACACGCCTCTCCCCAGTGCGTCCGCGTCGCACCAGATTATTCCTCCTCACAGGACATACGACATACGCCACGTGGCGAAAGATCCAACAACAGGCGGCGACAGTTCGGAGAGTCTATCCCTAGCGCCACGTGTTAGCGGTAACAAGGCCAAGACACAAACTGGCCGGTTAAAACGCCTAGCAGAGACCGTGGACTACCAACTAGGTGAATGTAGTCACGACACGTGGCAACTCCAGAGTTCTGGTGCAACGCATGGCTATGGTCAGTTGGCGTTGGAGAACGTGGAGAATCAAAGGGAAGCTCCATTAAATCAAAGCGTGAATCTTGGGTTTGATGATCAAGTCGATACCAACGATGTTGGCTTAGAGCTCAGACTTGGTTAGAAGCGCAAAGATAAAAATCATTAGCATTATAATTACTATCGTAACTGTCTTTTTCATTAATAATTTCACTTTCTACTTACAAGGAGAAAAGTTCAAGAGACGCAAATGAAACTTGAGTTACTGGCTTGTATGTATTTAAATTTGATAAAAAGAAAAACTTTTTCAAAACAGTATTTAAGTTTGATATTAATGTAAAACTATTAGGGTATTGTATATGTTAAAGGTCCCAAGTCTCGACGTGTTATATAGTAAGCTTAGTGGTACTTATCGTTACTTTATAGGCTTATCTCACCGAGCGTCACTAAAACCATCACAAGGAGGAGTAGGAACAAAAAATTATTTTGATTTTATTACCTTCTTGCATATGCATGAGCCATTTGCACCCTCTAGTTCCCATTCATAGTGGAGTATAGAAGGGTGCCTGTAGAAATAAAAATCACGTAGCGAATTAAAAATGACACACACAATCCAGCCTTACTGAAACTTTTATTTGACTGGCTTGTTATATTAATGTTATGGAAGGCTTTTCACTCAGTTGTGGTGATGGGCATGATAGTGACTCCAACATTGTGAATAACATCACTAGCTTGTGATCTATGAAACCCACTGATCTAATAACCATTCTCCCCTAGCGAGAATTTCTCGCTGGAATCCCTTCCAAACTGATTTGATTCCTTTTTTGTTCGTCTATAACCGAAGAGATAATTACAGGGTCTTCAACTCTGAAGGAGTGAAGGGGATTTAGAACTTCAAATGTCACTTTCTTCATTTGTTTCTTTATTTTATTTTAAAGCTAAAATTTAATTGTTTAACAAAATTATCTTTAAGTATTATTTTTTTTAGATACTCATTGGATAGTTATTTATTCACAGAAAAAACTTCCAGTATGAACAAATAATACTAATTATTTTTAATTCAAACGATTTTACAATTGAAAAACAACCTGTATGGTTGTGCAACGGATCCGAAACTAGTTTAAAGTTTTTTGTATATTTCTTCCAAACGTACAAAAGAACAAAGTATAGAAGCAGCTATAAAAACAAGAAAACTAATTTTCCATAAATATTTTTTTAAGCAAAATCTTATTCGATACACGCAAGTTATTAGTTACAGCATGAGAAACTAAAAAAAATACCCCAAATGAAAAAAAAAAAAAAAAAGACTTACGTATATGCAGAGCAAATAAATAGAAACATCTATGATTTGCTTTTTCTTCTCTCTTACTTCCATTTCTCAAACCCCTTAAAAACCGAATCCCAAGAAGAACATAATCCAGACCATTTTACCAAACCGTACTTGAAACAACGTTTTAGTTCAGAGTTTGACAACTTCAGGGATAAAGACAGGGTATCGGTCGATACAATCTGACCATGGTCCATCCTTAGGTGTCTTAATCGTACGGTTACACTTCCACACAGCAGAGTTACACTTGAAACCACTCCCAAACGCAATCTGCCAAACTCGATCTCCTCTCCTCATTCTCCCTTTAGACTCGATGTAGCTAAGCTCGTACCACAACGATGATGATGATGTGTTACCAAAACGGTGTAGTGTCATTCTCGAGGCTTCAACGTGTTCTCCTGATAGCTGTAGATTCTTTTGGAGCTCGTCGATTACGGCTCTGCCTCCTGCGTGGATGCAGAAGTGTTCGAAGGCTAGCTTGAAATCCGGTATGTATGGTTTCCATTTCGGGTTGAAGATTTTACGTCCGATTAATGATGAGAGGAAGAGGAGTTGCTCCGATGCCGGTAGGACCAGAGGACCTGTTCAATCAAAACCAAACCCAAAATTTCTTTTAAACCAATTAATTTATTTTGCTTCTAATCTAACAAACAATTTAATGCAACCGAAAAGAATAAACTGAACGACTAGTGAACGTGTGTACTGGAAAAAGTACATAACGTAATTAGTTCTGTATTCGAAACCTTAAAGAATCCAAACCGAAATTAAACCGTACAATCGAATTCTTATATGGAACCCAACCAAACACTCATTTCTCAAACTGAAACTAACCAAATAAATCGTGTATAACAAACACATCGAGTTTTAATAAGTGTCGTGCAACCGAATCGATAAGCCAAAAGTCTCATAAACACAAGACAACTAAAGTATTCTTATTAATTAAAAATTTTCATGTAGTATAATTTGTTTATTCAAAACCGTAACAAACCAAACCGAATTGAAACAATTCACACCTGAAAAGGAACCAAAATAGTTTAAATGTCCACCCACACCTTAATATACTTTTCCACCGTTGATATTGTTATGCTATTAAAGTAAAATAAATGAGATATGTATTCTTATTACCTATGGTGGTGATGTTAGCCTTGAGGGCTTCACCGGCAATAGCCATAAGATCTTTGGACAAGTTGATGCCAATGTGTCCTTCTTTATCTTCCTGTTCATAGACGCAGTAATGAGACTTGTCATCAGCGCCACGGTGGGTTCGGACAAGGTGGCAAAGCTTGTACTTGGCTCGCCACCGGTCAGACCGACGGTTTGACATAAGTATTGCCGCGGACCCCATGCGGAATAGACAATTAGGTAGCAACATGGCTCTCTCATTCCCCTTGTAGTAATTAGGAGTTATGATCTCGGTGCTGACAATGATTGCATTCGAATTGGGATGAGCTTGAAGCAAATCGCGGGCTAGATCGACTGAGATCAGGCCCGCGCTGCAGCCCATCCCGGACAGATTAAAGCTTTTAATGTTGCTTCTAAGCTTATATTTATTGATAACCATAGCTGATAGAGATGGTGTGGGAGAGAAAAGAGAGCAGTTGACGATGAGAATGTCGATGTCTTTAGGCATCATACCGGTTTTCTTGAAAAGATCATCCATAGCCGTGAAGATAACCAAATCAGCCTCGCTTCTAGCCTCTTCCATGGTTGGTGTGGGAGGAATGTAATGAATAGCCGGAGGTAAACAAGTCTCTTCACCGAGACCAGAACGTTCAAGAATTCTCATCTGAAACTCAACGCTCTTAGGCTTGTCTTTGAGGATCAAACGAGAATGTTCCATGAAAGTTGCGAAGGGGACACGGCACGTGACAGGTGGTTTGTAACAAGAGTAGTCAACGAGGTAAACGGTGCGGGGTTTGGACATGAAATAAACGGTGGAGATGAAAATAACAAGGAAAGAAGAACATAGAACTTGAACTAGGTCAAAGTTAAGTGAGTCCCAAACATTAAAGATCTCTTCTGGACCAATCCGAAGAAGCTCAACTGCGATGGTTACCATGATAGGAATCAAAAGAACACTCAAGAAGTGATTGACCAAGTATTGATAGCCGAGCTTCACATACTTGAGCTTCACCGAGCTGGAGAACTCTGGCATTGGTGCCTGAGGCATCTTTGAAGAGAGAATTTAATGTAATAATATGAAAGTACGTTTGTTTATTAGGTTTTTGGAGATGAGTTAATGAAGAAGCGAGAGGGAAGGTGAAGGATATAAAGGCAAACAGAAAATGGGGGTAGATGAGAAGAGTTAATGAAGAGTCTAACGTCACGCAACGCTCTCGTTTTGCTCTCTATTTAATTTTGCTTCCTTTTAAGGAAGTTGTTTTATTATTATGAGAAAAAGCGTTTTGTTCTACTTCTCTTCGATTTCCAGTTGTTACCAGACAAAAGCAAGTGATGGAGAAAAAAATGATAAGGACTGTTCCCATTTGATATAAAAGTTTCATATCTTTCAGGATTGTTGTTGAGATATAAGTGAATAAAAACAGCAGAGAGGTGTCAGCGTTTGGTTTAATCGAGATCAAAGTGTTTGGTAACTACTTTGATTTGATGATGCACGTAGCTAGATAGGCACAAAGTAGTACTGTTACATAAACATGTACCAAAGAAACATTGTTTACAAATCTATAAACTGTAAAAATATATAAATTAATAATATTGAGACTACGCTATTTTATTTGCTTATAAAACTATTAATTTACATCCATTTTTAGGTTTATACATTTTCAAGTATGTTTTATGTAAAAATAAGAAACATCAATTTGAGTGGTGTATCTATGATTTAAATTTTACAAGTACCAATTTTACATTGTTTAATTTAGTTATTTGGTGTATAAAATTATGTAGTTTAAATGTAAATGAATTTTAAAGTGGAAAATTATAAAATAACATTAAAATGCTTAGAAAACATTAAATGGACTTCACTGTCAATAAAAACAAATAATAAAATATTTTATATATACATTAACTATTAATTTATATTATATTGGGCCTATATATTTAAAAATATTGTAAAAATATTATTTTATTATTTTATCCAATTATGTCACATTTGACACTGGTCTAATTTATGACTAGTGAAATTATTAATTTATTTTATTTCTTAACTTAACGAGTATTAATTTATAAAATTTATATTGTAATATGTAAAAGTTCCACAAATGAAAGAACTAGTACTATTTTTTAAGCATGAATGAAATGTACGTCTATTGATTAAACCCCAAAATGTAAGTAAATATACCAGAGAGTTTGTTATCCATGTATATATCTTTACAAAGTTACAGGATTTTTTTTGTTTACAATTAGGTATTGTACATGTAATTTGCATGGATTTCAAATTAGTATAGTAAATATATATAATAATATATTTTTAAAATATGTAATTTTCTCTCACACCTTTTTTTTATAAAAATTCACTATATTATATAAGATAGATGACACATAACAATTATTCAGAAAAACCTGTGTTAAAAAAAACTAATTAACATGAGAGTATTATTTTATTTGACCAAATGAAGAAGTTAACATGTTTAAGAGACAAACATTTTTAATACGTCGGTGAAATACCAGTCAATATTTTCTCAAAAAGAATCTGAGATTATATTAAATTTACTTTGAAGTTCCTTTAGTTGGGTCGAAAGCCATTTCGAAGTGGAAACACACGAGGGGAAATCAAACAGTAGTTACGATGTTTGACTTGGAAAGAGCAAATAGACAAACCTTGAGATTCGTAAACATGAGGAAAATCGAACAGTACCTAGTTACGATATTTGACTTGGAATATGAAAGCAGACAAATCTCGATATCCGACGATTTCATGTACTATCTATGAGACTATGATGCTTTTTACCAAACAAATTTTACCCAAAACTGGATAAGGTTGCAATATCTTTACACTTTTATCATACATGCATGAAGGAACCAACCTAGAGAGAACTCTAGAGAAAATGAGATCAAAAACCTTTTATAGCTAATGATTTTGCACAACAATTATAAGGAGTTTCGTATGAGATTATTAATGCCAACAAAGTTCGACGAAGAAGTTTAGTATGGAACTTTTCATTTAATACAAATAACTTGTGTCTGTAGTTCATTGCCCTCGCCGATTTTGTAATCCATAAGAACATGTGCAATGATGGGATTCACTAGAGTTCTTAGCGACAAGGACATTTAAGATTAATCTTCGATATTTCAGATTTTAAAAAAAAAAAAAAAAAATGACCATTCACGGGCCGCCACGTGGTCAATGGGGGCCGTGAACAGTGTAACGATTAATCCTTACCAAAGGATTTTAAATATTCTTTTTAACACAAACTCTAAGAAAATGGGCTCCACACTTCCTAAGGATTCCCTTAAGAGTTCCCATTGCACATGCTCTAATAATACAGTTCTTACGTCACCTTTCAGAATAAATGTACATGAAGATCAATTTATATCCCTCCAAATCAACTCCCTAGCCTTAATAAAGGGGACGTTGGCATATCTATATGGGCTTCCAAAGTATAAAAATCATTCTGAAAAAAGTTAAGCCCAATGGGCCTTTAGAAATTTCATTTTCACGCTTACGTGGACATAACTACGTCACGTGTACTGTGAAGTGTGAACCACTTCTTGATAATATCGGCAAGAGAGAGAGAGAGAACACGAATGGAGTGAGTCAACTACTCACTTTGTACTTCAACAAAATCTCACTTTATTAAAACCTAAACCCAAACAAAACTCAAATCCGTCGCAGAGATAGAAGAAAAGATGTCAGAGTATCTGGTCACTGGAGGAACAGGTTTCATCGCTTCTTACATCATCAAATCACTTCTCGAACTCGGACACACCGTTCGAACCACTGTCCGAAACCCTCGTAGGATATTCCCTATTTTTATTATTTTATACTTTTCCGAATCTTTACCACTAACTTGATTTTTAATTTATGTTAAAAAGAGGATGAAGAGAAAGTAGGTTTTCTATGGGAACTACAAGGAGCGAAAGAGAGGCTGAAGATCTTCCAAGCCGATCTAACGGCTGAAGGAAGCTTTGACGAAGCAGTCAACGGCGTCGATGGAGTATTCCACACGGCTTCTCCGGTTCTTGTTCCACAGGATCACAACATTCAAGAAACGTTGGTTGATCCTATCATAAAGGGTACAACCAATGTGATGAACTCTTGTGTAAAGTCCAAAACCACTCTCAAAAGGATTGTTCTCACATCTTCTTGCTCCTCGATACGGTACCGTTTCGATGCCACCAAAGCCTCTCCGCTCAACGAGTCTCATTGGAGCGACCCTGACTACTGCAAACGCTTCGATGTAAGAAAACATATATTAATTTGTTATATAATACTTTCTCGGCTTTTTAAAGTTTTAATGAGTTGTATACTTTTAAAAAACAATAGTTGAAAACATTTATTGAATAAATCTTACTGGTTGATTGGAAACTTTATAATGAAATAAATAATATAGCTAATCATGAACATTAATTATATCATAAACTCTAATGATGGCTTGTGTGTTCTTTTGAATACATGTATTAGCTTTGGTACGCATATGCAAAGACTCTAGGCGAGAAAGAGGCTTGGAGAATAGCTGAAGAGAAAGGGTTGAACTTGGTGGTAGTGAATCCTTCCTTTGTGGTTGGTCCATTGCTTGGACCCAAACCAACAAGTACTCTACTTTATATCCTCTCCATTGTCAAAGGTCTGGCTGGAGAGTATCCGAATTTCACGGTCGGGTTTGTGCACATAGATGATGTAGTTGCTGCACATGTGTTAGCCATGGAAGAGCCTAAAGCATCAGGGAGACTCGTATGTTCCAGTTCGGTTGCTCATTGGTCTGAGATCATTGAGTTGCTAAGAAACAAGTATCCTAATTACCCACTTGAGAACAAGTAATATCTCAGTCTTGCCAAGATTTCATATATCTCATTTGGTTGGTTGGTTGATTGATTCTTTGTTTTATTTTTCAGGTGCAGTAACAAAGAAGGGGACAATAGTCCACATAGTATGGATACAAGGAAGATACATGAGTTAGGATTTGCATCATTCAAGTCATTGCCTGAGATGTTTGATGACTGTATCCGCAGTTTTCAGGAGAAGGGTCTGCTCTGATGATATCTCATCTCCATCTATCTTTATTGTCGGTTGCCGGATTATGATTTTATAACGGATTGGTTCCAGTATAATAATAAAACTCAATAAGCTGGTTTGATCGATCTTCTGTGCTAATCTTTGTTGTGTTAAGCGTTGACAAATGATCTTAAGTGGTGGTTTTCTATTGTATATGAGGGTGGTTATTACAGTCAACTTAGTAATACAAAGGCAACATCTTATTTGAACTAGGACATCTTTTACTGCTAAACATTTTTATATCAAAAGAATGTTACAAGATCAGAATGCAAAAACATTTGAAAGTCACTGTAGTAATATATAACAGAAACATTAGTATATTTCACCAATAGGTGTGACGGAATATTGTTAGATCTTCTTGTGTATTCCAATGAACATCTGCTAAATCTTGAAGTACAAAGAAAATATTATAAGATGTATTAGCAACATTATGTAAATATTTTTTTAATGAATATTATATAGATGTGCCATTGTTTAATGAAAACTTGTATTAGCGACATTTTAATCTATAGCTTTTCCTTCTAAAATATCATTAAGATTTTGCTGTCTCCTTCAAATATCCATGCTCCGAGAGTGGTGCATTTGCCAGTAATAGCAACAAAGAAAAACTACCATGTCTTATCTTCTCTCTGTTTCATTAGACTAAACTCCTCACACCTGAAAGGGCTAGAACTAAACCGGGCTCAAGTTAATGGGCCGAAAATCACATCTCCCGTGTAGCCCAAACTCCACTTTATAGAAACATCAAAGGTTTAACAATCTCCATAGAAAAGTAATGTTAATAGTTTCACAATTTCAGAAAAAACACTTTGATTCGGTGGCCAAAAAGAAGGAAAACACTTTACTACTCTAATATTTGAATTGAATGTGTAGATGTCCTTATAAAACTAATATAACCTGACAAGCTTGAAAGCTTATCACCTCTACTTCTATTACCTCACGGTACTCACCTCACCTCAGCTCGCATGTGCATCTCAAAGCTCTCTTTATAGCGAGTGTACCACGTGATTAAGACATGACACGCACGTACAGGAAAAAAGAATACTTATACAACCACCAAGTAGTGGAAAGATTACCAGTATAGACTATGCAATATAAAAGTCATCCTTTGACATTTCCTCATTGCCAAATCAACCTTTGGATTTTTATATACACTTTAATAATTAAACTTCCATAATGCCATCCAGCTGTTATAAACATTTGCAGTTTATTTACAAAACCTGACAAAACCAACCCCCGACTTGCTGCCACTTCCGTGCAACTCCCTCTTTTAATTCCACACTCTCCTCTTCACTATATTAAACTTTTCTCTTAAAACAGAAATTAATTTAATTTCTTTTTTTTTGTTTTCTCTTTAGTCAAAAATTAATATAATTTCATAAATAAAAATTAGGTAGAAGAATGGTTGTTTTGTGATGGCGCGGCGAATCAGCAGAGAAACAGAGGGCCAGCAAACTTTTCATGAATTGTCGTTTTCTATTAGGATTCTTCAGAACAGCAACACGTCATAACCATAACGCTCCATTGGTAATGTGATATGAAAACAGACAAAACAATGTCGACAAGAATGAATCAACAGCAAAAATAAAAACTTCTTCCATTATTTATCATTTATAGATGTTACAAAAGATGGAAGCGAATGTAATCAAAGTCTTAAGCTTTAGGGGAAAAACCCAAAGTACTTAAGAGATTAATTAACCACAGGAGAACCATAAAAAGTTTCAAACTTTCACACTTATCTTTTACCACTATAAACCCAAATTAAAATACAACTCACTAAATGCAAACAAAACCCGGCTAATTATGTCTTAAGATCTTACTTCACTCCGGAACACACTTTCTTGTATGTCTTTTAAGTAAAAAAAAGAAAACTACTAATTTAAGCTGCAAAACTTTTCATGGGGATGTGTTGATCAGCGAAAAAGAAGCTAGAGTCGAACTCAACATCTGGAAAGTCACAATCAGGTAGCTCGCTCGGACCACTGTCTTCGAATCCAAGCATAGTGAAATCATCAAACTGATCATCAGTGAACAAACAATCCAAGTTTAGTTGGTCATTCTCTTCAGTAAAGAAACCAAGATTAGCCATTTGTTCCTCTTCACTAAAGAAACCAAGATCAGGTATTGGTATCTCAGCAAAGTTGAAACCAAACAACACTTCCTTGCTCGAACCAGTAGCATTTGTAGCAGTGATCTTGATCTCTTCTTTAAGGGTTGGTGTTGAAGCTGAAGTGTCCTGCTCAAGAGGTGAAGAGCGAGAGCATTGACTAGTCTCAGAGGAAGAAACATCAGGTTTCTCAGACACGGAATCATTAGTAATACCGACAAGTGCATCATACTCTTTCCTCTTGTCTTTATAAGCTTGATGAGCTGCTTCTTCAGTATCAAAAGTACCCAACCATGTTCTGTTTTTAGTTATTGGATGTCTAATCTCAGCAGCCCATTTACCCCATTTTCTTTGCCTGACACCAACAGGCTTCTTCCTAGACAAACTAGGACGAGAAGCTGCTGCTTTCTTGCTTACTGTTTTGGTACTGTCCTGTGAAGAACTCACAGAAGTAGGCTCAACGCGAGGAGGAGCAGCAGACTCCAGAGATGGAAAGTTAACCACACGGACGATGCGTCTCATCTTTGCTGTCTCCCCCTCGTCGCTTGATGAATCATCATCAGTAGCGTCAGGATCGTTGACCAAGATCCTAACTTTTCTCAAAGGTTGTTGGGTTTTGTCTTGAGGATTGCATCTCTTCTGTTTCTTCATATCACTCAAAGAACTTAAAGACTTCCTAATCCCTACCATTGTTACCCAAATCCTCAAAAAACACCCAAAAAAAAAACTCAACACTCTTCAGATCAAAACTTATTTTGTAATAAAAAAAAAACTCAGCGCACTATGAAAAAAGAAAACTTTTGCTGCTTTATGTGAAAACCACCAAACACTTCAACGCCAGAACAAGTCCTGAGACATAAAAACAAAGTCTTCACCTTTAGTTTCCTTAGTCTCTTAGATCTCTTAGATAAGATGAGAAATGATTACAATACCTTTTGGGTCTTAAGCGCATGGAGAGAGAAGGACTCTCGAGAACAAGCCTCTGCTTAACGCAGAAGTCAAAAGCGTTTAAAGAAGCAGCAGCCAGACCAGGTTTCAAACAAGATGGTGATGAAATCAGACAGGAGATGTTGTTAATCAGAGACAAAATCAAAGCTTTTGAATCAAACTCAGCCGACATAAATCTTCTCACAAAACCCCTAAGTATCACTGTTTCCTGTTCTTACAAGAGAGACAAACAAGAAGAACAAAAAGTGAGAAACACAAAATAAAAACCCACACAGCTAAAACCCTAGAGAGATTAGATATCTGGGGACGAGGTTTTTCTACGGGTTTATATAAAAATAAAATAAAAACGAAGGATCCGTGACAAAGTTTCAGACAGGAGATGAAAAAAAACAGTAAACAAGTGTTTTAAAAAAAGTGGATTCTTACAGAGAGACGACGCAAATCTCTAGAAGAGGAATGATAAATAAATGCAAGGAGGAAGATGGTGAAGAAAACGATTCTTTTTTAATAAGTTCAAGAAACAAGTGCAGAATAAGTAATAAAATATTTATTAACCTTGTTGGGTGTTTCTTCGGATTCTCTCTTCTTTTTTCTTCTTTGCTCTCTTTGGCTATGAATCACTCTCACACTCTTTATAATCTCATTTACATATAAACACACTGGTTTATTTCACTTTTCTAAGGTCAAAAATGAACCAATCAAAGAAAAGAGCAATAATTATGGGAAAAATAAAAGTATTCGCTTAGCTAAGTAGAAACTGAAATAATCAAAGAAAATAGCAATAATTTTGGAAAAATAAAATATTCACTTAGCTAAGTAGAAACTGAAAAATATATTTTGTTTCTAAAAGATATTTTTAATGCATATAATAAAGATAAATTGTAAACCTTTATGAAATTAATTGTATTTATTGAATTTTGATTAGTTTAGAATTATGGAAAATAATTATTTACAAAATAATATATTTATTAGCATATTTTTTTAATATGTGTGAAAATTTTGATAACATAGATTAAATTGAAATAGATGAAGTATAGTATAATTTTATAAAATAAAATTTCCTTAAAACCAAGATTTATTTGTATTATTTTCTTGCGTTACTTTTGTTATTTTTTATGAACAAGAAAAAGAAGATAATTCTTTTTTTGTCAAACGAAGAGAATTTTAACATAGTATTGTTATGGGGAGACCATCAAATGAAATTAGCTGGCGTGGTGGGACTAGGGACAATTTTAACATTAATGGCGCATGACTCTTCTCATGCATCTACCATGCCCCGCCTAGAATTCCCGCGCGTGCTTCTCACTCTCCCTCGCCACTAAAGAATTTCTTAAGAAATTTCTCATGAGTCATTTTCTAATTTTATGTTTTTTTTCTTTTCTATACTTGTTTAATACTCCCTCCGTTTCATATTAAGTGTCATTGTAGAGATTTTTTTGCGTTACAAAATAAGTGTCGTTTTCGGTTTTCAATGCAAAATTTATTAATTTTATTATGTAATTTGTTTTTCTATTGGTTAAAATATGGTTAGGTGTACGGGTAATTGTGTTTTTATATAGGAAATATGTAAAATTAATTGTTTCCTTAATCCGTGTGCACAGCTGTAGAGTGACACTTATAATGAAACAGAGGGAGTATTTATTTGTATACAAATCTATATTTTTGTATAAAATCTTCTAACTGTGGCCTAGAGAATCTCAACTATATTTCAAAGAATATATAACCTTTTTTTTGTTCAACCAAAGAATATATAACCAAATCTTCAAAGGTCTAACTAATCCCACTTTCACTGGATTTCTCTCTTTGTCTTACTAAAATAAAAGGAAACTAAATCACATTTGGTTTTAGATTTTGGTTGAACCGAACCGAACATATTGAGCTAACCAAACTGTCGTGTAAAAGCTCAAAATTCACGCGTTTGGTGTTTCTCTTATATTAACAACAACTAGATTTTGAACCCGCACATACGTGCGGGTATTTTCTCATTTTATAAAAATATAACAAAGCCTTTTAAATATATATGATTTATATTCTCTTGTTATATATTGTATAATTGTATAACTTTATAATTTATTTATTTTTATATAATATATTGTTGTAAGTTTTAAAATAAAAATAAAATATTTATATATAATTTATTATATAATGTATTTATTGTGAGTTACAAAAATATATGTTAGCATTTTTTGTATAAAAATGTTCTATGATTTAAAAACTTTAATATTTTTTAAAAGAGAGTGATATTTATTTATTTATTTGAATAAAAGAAAATTTTTAAAACAAAATATTTTCCTTTTACCAATTTAAAATATTTTATATTCATTTCACATAGTATTTTATTTTAATATAATATAGAATATAACTAAATTATAAAATATAACAATTTTTATTTTTAATTAACATTAATATAGATATTTATATATATTAATCACGAAATTAAATAATTCATATTTTATAAAAATATTTAAACTTCTTTGTAAGATCTTGTTAGATATTTTCTCAACAAATTTATTACTAATATCTTATTTATGTATATATATTTAATTGATTAATATAAATAATTAAATATGTCATATTATTGAAATGGTCCAATATGACTTTTTTGTGGTAGATGTAAATGGTACTTCTCTTTTAATAGAGAAGAAGAGCGATGACTCAAAAAGAAAAAGTTCGTCTACACAAAAAAGGCCATTAAAATGATTTAATGAGAATGTTAGGAGAAAATAATTGGTTGGGTTTGTACAATTGTACGGCTGACATTTAGGATTCGTTAGAAACTTTGAATATTTACCATGTACTGAATGAAATAGACACTATAAAATACCGGAAAATTAAATGTCGGAGTTAATTTTAGATTTTCAATTTTGATATGCATTTCAATAAGGAATATTGTAGGGATTATTAATTCTTTAAGAAATAGAATACGGCTGTATATATTTTTCTAACGTTGCGGGAAATAATTAGAAGTTAGTGCATGAGTCTTGACTTTCGCTCACTCTATTATCAAATGTTCAAAGTTGTTTATCTTTAAAACAAAGTAGTGAAGTGATCATGGAATAAATTATAAATTTCAAACTAAAAATTAATGAAGCAACAAGCTGTATATTTAAGGAACACCACCATATAATTATTGGATGTGGAAAGTAAGTGCTGTTTTTATATCGAATTTTTGTCAAGTATCCTAGTGAATAATGTTTAAGACACATGTGACACGTGTATAACAAGATTCTTCCTATGTTTTGCTTCAATCTTACTCAAAGCTAGTTTTAGTCACTATCATAAATCATAACAATTTAACATCATTACATTATCATAATACCTTTTGTAAAAAACAATTTCAAATTTCATGAATTAGAAGGAGGTGGTCCGTGTAGTATGTCATACTGATATATGGTGAAGAAAACAATATCACATGAGCAAATGATAAGATCACACAATAATATTAAGAGTAGAGATCACGGAAGTTATGGATAACATAAATATATTTGTTTGTGATTTCATAACGACTTAAGTAACTTCAACAAATATTAGATTCATATAATTACTTTCATGAATCTGTGAACTTTTTGTTTTCTTTTTTTTCCTTATTGAGATGTATACTAAAACCAAGGTCTTAAATTTACAAAAAATCATAATAAATAACTTCCAGAAGCACCTTTTAAGAAGGATGATGTGGAATTTTAACTCTCCCGACCCAATATTTGGTCAATTTCAAAACTATGATTCCTTGTCAAAAATCTAGGACAAAATCCAGCAAGTATTCACCCATTTGCATACATATATAATTTGGTTATACGAGTATCTAGAGGCGTTACAAAATTTAGTGGAAGCACGACCTGGTGCTGGTAATAATAACACTTAGAAAAAGGAAGGAGTGTATGTTATAAAACATATTAAAGTTTAGCAAAAGAGATGCACGTGAGATGAGATGCAGATATGGGTTCATAGGATCACCACGTCTTCACATTTAGGTGAAGAAGTAGCATCGGCTCTTCGCCACCTGCCAAGTTCACAGAGTACAAATCTAATGATCCATCTCTTTATCACGTGATCTCTTTAAAGTAATCACCCACTATATTCATTCTGAATCCAAACTATTATGTTACAACATGTGCGATCTCTTACGGTCTGAAATTATTATTAAATGGCCATGTTACCAAAATGCTCTTCTAGTGCGTCATAAGGCGTTTCAGTGTAGATGCTATGTCAATGTCAGTGCATGCATTCATGACCCACAACTCTATTTGTAGTAAAGAACTACACGAACCAGATTTTATTATCGTATCTAATCTTTATAATTAGTAATCACCAATCTCAAGAAAATCACAGTAAGTTGTTTCAGTTTAGCTGTACAATGTATTCAGTGCATGCATTTATGATCCACGCAACTAAATTTGTAGTAAAAATAGTTATACGAATGAACCTTTTTATTATATCTAATTTCTCCAACTGGTAATCACTAATCTCTGAAAACGCTACCGCAGCTTTTCTTTCATAAATATGTCCAGTCAATAAAACGTTCTTAATTTATTTCCTTGTAGAGTTCTACCGTTTATAAAACTTCCTTATTCCATGGTCTCTCGTTTTATGTGGTAACTCACAATTATTGTTTGTACATCTGATATAGTAGATGTCAAGAAATTCGGTAGATTGAACACTGGCCTATCCTTCGTTTTTCTCAAAGCATTTCCACTGTGCGTTTGAAAGTAACTAAATTGAGTCCATAAAGACCTTGTGTGAGTGTTGTGGTATACGACACTTCTCTTGATGTAATAAGAGGATTGAGTCTGTAAAGATTGTAAACTCTTCAGTGATCTGTATTATAGTTTTCTTAAGTTGTGTGAATACTGAGAAAGAAAAGTCGTTTTAAACTTCTTCAATATAGTGTATTTGTTAAACACGAATTCAGCATGTATATGTAACAGAGACGAGTGATTTGAAAGATGTTTATTGAGTAATCAAAAACTATTTACAAAAAAAAAACTACTAAAATCGTCAAGTGTTAAGAACTCAGCAAGAACAAATAAGGCTAAGTGAAAAAAATAATAATAAATAAGGCTATGTGAATCATAATTCTTATGCCGGTTTTTCTATGTTTTTCATTTTTTAAAAAACTATTTTGCTCTTTATACATCTAACTTTTTTCATTTTCTACGAATCTGTGTATTTATTTGATCGTCTCTTATTTAATTAGACTTCCTATCAACAACACCAGTATTTATAAAATACCATTTTGATTCCAGTTAGATTATGATGATCCCGATTTAACCATTTCGCCACCAAACGTAGTTTGCGATCTCGCTGAAACTCCTTATCAGTATATTTGGCTATTTGCATGTATAAGCTACGGTGGTTTATTAGTTTTCAACTTCGAATTTTGCATAACATTCCATAATTTTTGAACTGAATGAATGGTTTTGAATAGAATTCTGAAGCATGATTATGTATGCTGATCAGTTCCGGAAATGAATTTTGGGAAATAAAATTTAAGAATCGTCTTACAAAGATCAAAAATAAACAAATAAATACATGTATATATATATATATATATATCCATTTAAATACTATGAAGTCACATTACATAATCAATCCTACATTTTTTTCTATTCATTTAGAAATTGAAGTGAATGTACATAAATATAACTAAAAGTTATAGTTTTAGTTAGTAGTTCATTTAATAAACTGATATTGAATAGAAAGGAAAAAGATTTTCATTGTTGATCTACATTTTAATATTTAGATATGTTTTTATTTTCATTCTTATAAGTTCTTAAATAATTATAAGCTCTTATCTACATTTTGATATTTAGATATGTTTTTATTTCATTCTTCTAAGTTCTTTAGAAATAGCTGTGAAAACTTTTTCAAAACTGAATAAAAAGGATTTTTTGTTTTTTTATCAAAATATTCTTAAATATGCATATATTTATAACATATTTTAATAAATTTCATTATTTTATTATCTAAATTTATTATTCATTTTATAAAGCACTAAGTACTTAAAAAGTTGGCAAACAAAGCAACTTTAAAATTCGTTTACAAGTTCATTTTTTCTAAATTTCTATTTTTAAAAAAATTAAATCTGCTTATTGTTTTTGTTTTGACAAAGCCGAATAAAAATCTAGGTAGTAGATATGTATGATGGTTTTTGTTATTATCTAATGTTTTCGTCTCCTAATGAATTTGATTATGTGGAAGTTCAGTTGTCAATTGGTTGAACAATATAAATTTCATTATTCATTAATACTTACATCAAAAAGTTTGAGTTTTATATTTGTCATTGTTTGTAATTTATATTTAATCAATATAAATGACATGAATTTGATCCCTTTCATATCTATTCTTCAAATAAGGTTGGGCCCAGATGGAAGGCAGTAAGTGGGCCACGGAGGCGGTGGCTCGTGCCTCGAGGCAGTGTCCTAGTCATACTCTGCTCTCCTTTTCCCGCCATTTAGCCGACTCCCATCATTGGGTCCCACTTCCCGCCCTTATTCTTCCCGTTCAGAAAACTGCAACCACCTAACCTGTCTCTGAGTGTCTCATCTCCTTCCACGTCTTCACCACTGCCACGTGCCTATGGTCTTGTGCTGTGGACTCGCGAATCCGGCTGGTTAAGGCACCTTATTAATTATCTATTTATTTATTTATGCTTTTTTTTCTGATGTGAAACATTAACAGAAAATCATACAGTACATAACTCTCATTCTTTTCAAACATGGATATGGTTACACAAAAGAATTGTTACAAAGATCAAATACGCCATATCTTGTGGCTGTAATTTTTCTTTTTTTTGAATTATACAGAGGTATCTTGTGCCTGTAATTTGGTACAATAACATCTGAAAATTCAGATAGTATGTGTATGTAATAAGTTTTGTTAAAACTAAAATAAGTTGATAGAATAATAAAACTATTACAACGACTAAAATAAGTTTTGTTAAAACTATCACAACGACTGGTCAAAGTTGATAGAATAATAATTTACTGGCTCTTTTAGGTTCTGGATGTGTGAGCACTGAGCAGTATCGTAGAGTTTTGTGGCTTAGAATATCTTGTGGGCTGGACTTTTCTTCTACTAGGCTAGGCTTTTTGGATTAGAGTTCACAGATCATTGACTAGCTTTGTTTGATTTTGGATCAAGACAAGGATAAAAACCATCAAGATGGAGACAACTGGCAAGTTTATAAATCTATTGAGCTTCTAGGCGTGATCTAAGGATAATCTATATCTAATGTATTATATAGTCAATGGTTGGGTTTAAAAGTCTTCATTGAGTGGGAAGAAATAAAAAACCTATTGAAAAAGGACTAATCATTGATCATTACATGACATATTCATGTTGATGAATAGTTTTTGGTTTTGTATGCTACAGGCGATTGCACCATCATTTAGGTACAGAGCTTAAGCATACAGTACTAAAAAATGTAGACATACAAAAATGATGGCACAGCATATGAACATTTAATGCTGACAGAATATACAACAACGGATAGTAATATGGCGCAATAAATGTAGACGAACCGAAATTTTGTGTTTATGATTACTAACGAATTGTGTTTTTGTTGAAAGTGTGATCACTGATCCGGCGATTAGTAGATCTTTATATGAAAGTAGCAACCCTTATTGATCTGTTAATAGATCAAAATTGCTATAACCAGTTTATTTTCTCTAACACTATTTTATTTCAAACTAGGGCAGGCCCGCCCTACGGGCGGGATATAATTTACTCGTGATTTAGATTATTATTTTTGTATAATTTTATGGTTTATGTTTTATGTTTGTATTTGCAAGAAATGTGTATGATACACTTATTATGTATGTTGTGTTTACCTTCTGCTCCCCTACAAATCAATGGAACTCCTTCACAATATTCTTGAGTGTTGAGTTACATCCACATGGGCTCCAGAAACCTCCCTCCGAAAATATCTTAGTACTTTTATCTGAAGTGCATGTTTCACAATATATCCACTTTATGAGCCAATTGTCTTGACTTCATTCGGCAATGTCTCTATCTCGTCTGATCCAAGCATAGACCCTGGTCAAATGACCCATAGAAAAGGTTAGCTACTATTACACAGCCCCCAATTCATCTCCACAACTTCTTCTTTTTTCCATTTGAGCTATAGTTCCCATGTTTATGTATATGATTGACCTCAATTTCACATAAAGAATTCAAAATATATGATATAGCTATAGTGACTTGCTCATATATATCTTTTTAGTTTGATAGTTGGTATATATATTTTAATTTTAAAAATATTGTAATATTTAGCTTTTTCACTATGGATTCTAATCATATTTGTCTATGTGGTAATTGAATTGAGAGTGATACAACTATAAAGTGATTTTTATTTTGGATGTGGGGATATTGCAAAATGTTTGCATTGTTTATAGTCTTTATTATATAAAAATTGTTTGTTTTGTTTGTATAACGTTTACTACAACTTAAATCTTCTCAAAATGCGATGTATAAATTTTATATTATTTTATTTTTTCGATCAAAATCAGATTAGACTTGTTTTTAGCAAGTTTGGATTTTAAAATATAATATTCAAAAATAGTTGAATAAAATCTAAGATGACATTTATAACCCAATTGTATTTATCTTCTAAAATATTTTTTCTATTTTTCTTCTATAAATATAATATGTTTTTGTACTTTATGATGAAATGTTATTTTACAGAAAATAATTAGAATAAAACTTAACTTTTATCACAGTATCTTTAAAAATATATTAATATACATGAGAAATTGTTTTATGTTACCATTTGATGATTATCCCTATCAGATATTCAGATAGTGGAAATTTGAAGCATATGTGAAATTGTTATTTGGCTCAAAAAAGTAATTGACATTTGACAGTATCATTTTATGATAACTATTAAAAATATGATGGCAAAAAGTAATGGCAAAAAATAACGATCACTACAGAATCAATTGATGAACCTAGCAGTAGCATGTGTTACTCAGTACCGTGCGTACTGAAGAAAAAAGAAACCTTCGCTTTGCGTATAACATATCAACACATTTTTACATAATTGTAAAACTATCAAATAGGTTTAGTAAAATAATAGTGGTAAATGAACTCATAAAAATAGATAAAATGAATGAATGAATTCATACGAAATGTGTATGTCAACAGAGCAATTACGATTACGTATCAAATAAGACATACACCAAAAGCGAAACATAGATACTAAAGCCAAACATCCAGGCATCTAGCGGTTGGGTTTCTTTTAATGCTTAGTAGCTTGTTTTCCTATGCCAATTACAACACCAAAATCTCTCTGTAGAATAGAAAACTAAAAGCTTGGGGACAAATAAGAAGATGAAAAAAATATTTAAATATGATGTACCTGATATATGCGTGGGAAATAGAAGTGGCAGTGATTTAAAGAACATGCTAAGAAGGGGTCACATGTACTCTTGTTTGTCTTGTCTAGAGTTGACATGTTGTAACTACAAAGAGAGATTCAACATAGGGATAGGGTTAATGCTCTCTCCAAACTCAACAAAACTGGTCTACTCCGAGAACCTAATAGAAACGGGGCGTCGAGTTAATAGAAATAATAAGTCTAGTTAAGGTGTAAAATATCAGAGCAGAAGTTAAGAAAAATATACCTTCTCATCCACCAAAGCAATGAAAACAGCCATGAGATCACCACCCTTATTCACATTATGTGCTTCCCAAAAAACAGAAGCTTTGTCATAATACCTACCAGCCTTCAACTCCGAAACCAGACTTTGCAAATTTGCCATTATCATACCAAAATTGAAAGTCAAAGGATTGAAGTGGTGATTTACAGGGGACTGAGACTTACATGTTTATACTTGCAGCTTCACTCTATCCAAGTATTGGGAGAGGCACTGAATGAGAGATCATGAGAGGACTGGGAAGCTGCTGTTAATGATGGCGTCATAGACGCGTTTGGACTCAATGCACTCGCTTAACGTCTCTGGATTTCTTTTGCCCGTATGTGGAGACCAAAGGATATGACACAACTGCTCTGCTCCACCGGGATATGTAACACCAGATTCGGTCAAACCATTCCTCTTCCCTAACTTCAACAAACATCGCATCTCTCCTAAATCTCCCTCAACCACCAGATCCTTCCACATTTCCATCGGAGACGTACTCCACGACTCCAATCTCTCCTAGCTCGATCTCACTACGGTGGCCTTAAAACAGTCACCATCTATCCTAGCTATCCCATGAACTTTCACTCCAACCTGCGCGACTCCAATCAAAAAACAAACCCTATTAAAGAGAAATCAAAAAGAACACTGTGTGAAAACAAACCCTAGTGATTAATCACGAAGCCTTCCTTTCGCAAGCCGTTTGAGATGATTAGAAGAAACGCAAAAGTCGCCGTTGGAAGAAGTTGATAGACGGATCTGTTCTTTGTTGCAGCGATATTAGGGCTTAGTGTTCAAACTATCGGGCGAAATAAATCTGAAGCCCAGAAACAAAAATCAAAACGGCCCATTCATTGTCCACGTGGACTTAATGACCTGTCATCCTATGTGGCACCCCTTAGAAGGAGTGAAACATATCTTTATATAATAGATACATCATCATATAATCAGTGCCATGCCTCCATAGCAAAAAAAGAAGCATTGGCTTCGGACAAGAAATTGTTAAGAAAATTAAGGGCATCAGTCATTATTAGCAAATACAAAATACAATTATAAAATCAAAGAATTTTGATTATTAGACTTTAAAAACATGAAACTATAATAAATATATAGTTTCCTATGTAACAAAAATATAGACAGTTGTTAATTATTAAAGAATTAGAATAATTAGATTAGTTGGTGGTTATTGTTTTAAATGCATTTTTAATATTTTTAAAATGTAAAATTGATTACATTTTTATCATGGTATAAAAACATTGAATAATCATTTTATCTAAAATAAATTTAATGGTACAAAATTAATATAAAATAGCTATATATTGTTATTTATTTTTTAATTTTATATATTTATTTTCTTTAATGTTAAAATAAATTTTCTATTTTTTTAAAAATATTTAATGTTCACACGGCTCTGCATATAATTTATATTTTAGTACATATGATGATAAACTATCTATATTGATATTGGGGAACAATTCACAAATAACATTTTCACAATGTAACTATTTCCATAACATTAAGTTCGATGAACAGTTCTTCATTTACAATATTTTATATCGATAGACATACTATTTAATTCAACACACGATCACAATGAATATAAATGTTTACAATAAACTATAACCAGTTTATCTATCTAAACTTTTTAAGAGATTAACTATGTTTCTTATGACAATATACCCATAGTATTTCACAACGAAGATAAGCTAAATGAAAAAGGTACGAAAATCATACTAGTTGCAACTTTTTATTCAGATTAGAACATCAAATAAAAGGCAAAGAGACAAATCTTAAACCAAACCTCTTTCTTTTCTTTTTTATTATCCGAAAAAAGAAGAATGAGCATACTTTTTGTTTTTTTTTTCAATTAAATCTCATCCTCTTCGACAATAATTTTACCAAACTCTCACATGCAAATTAATTCGCACCATTAATACCCATTTTCCACGACATGTTGAAGTCCTTACCCACTAGCATCTCAAGTCCCATAACTTCAACCATCACACTCTTGCTCTCACCTTCCTCTTCCAACCCAACCACATAACTATGCTCCTTCAAACTTACCTCAATCTTCTTCTCCTCGTTCGAAACCGGACTTCCATTGACTACAACCTCAGAAGCTTGTCCTGCTCCTCTAAGTCCCAAAACACTAACCTTCTCAATGATCCACCCTTTGCTCAACGCAAACTTCCCTTCCTTCACTTGTGACCACATCTTCACAGTTCCATTTCCAACCGAAGCATAAAAGTCAACGTACGTAGACTGTCCGTTTCCTAGCTTCATCTCCGGAAGCTCGTCCTCGTCTAGATAAAGCTTACCCTTCGCGTACCCCTCAGAAGCACCAGCAGGGAATGTAATAACGAGACTAAACGGCGTCGCTCTCGCTTCTTTAGAAATCAACCCTCCTCGCTGCATCGGTAATATAGTGTTTTGGTAAAGATGAACGTTCACGAAGTTCAAAGGAGCAGGGAGAGTCACACGCTTCCCTTTCTTGGACACAACGGCTTGTGTCATGTCGAACATGTGGTACCAAGAACCTGGTGGGAACAGTGCTTCCACTTCGGTTTTGCCTTGTTCAAGAACAGGAGATATCATTAAGCTGCTTCCTAGCAAGAACTGTCGGCTCGAGCCGTAACATTCAGTGTACTCAGGGAATGAGAAGAAGAGCGGTCTAGCGATCGGTGCACCGGTCATGTGAGCTTCGTAGTTAAGTGTGTAGAGGTAAGGAAGAATCTTGTATCTCATACCAAGAGCGTTACGAGCCGACTCTGCCACCGTGTCCCATTGATATAGCTCTTGTCTTGGTGAGTAGTAGTTGGCATGGTCTCTCGAAAACGGGTAGAACGCTCCTACTTCGATCCAACGGTTACAGAGTTCCTCCGTTGGTTGAGGGTAGAATCCACATATGTCTGAACCAACCATAGGAACACCAAAGATTCCGAAATTCAACATTGTTGAGATTGATACTTGCAAACTCTGCCATGTTCCTTGGTTATCTCCGGTCCAATGAGCAGCGTACCGACCCGAACCAACAAAAGTAGACCGGGATAAAATAAAAGGACGTTTCCCTTCTATAGATAGTAAACCCTTGTGTGTAGCGATGGTCTCGGAGAATCCGTAGATACTATGAGCATCATACTCTCTTACACCGTTGTAATGTAACGCACTTGTTGCAATAGTCTTGAAACCGATGGGAGCTGTAACACCAGTAGCATTGATCTTGTAAGGAGGATCATCCCATCTTGTTTTTGTTATATTCTTGCAGTCCAAGCAACATATCCAACCTGGTCCTTCACCAGTAGGACACTTCTTCCCCTTAGGGATTGTGCATAGTCCAGAGCAAAAGTTTGAGACCTCGTTCATGTCGATCCATAGACCATCTATAGGGGCTAGCTCATGGAAGCGGCGGATTTCATCTCCCCACCAAGAAACGGTTTTAGGGTTTAGGAAATCAGGAAAGTGAACCGCACCAGGCCATACTTGAGCTAAAAAGGGTTTCCCTTCATACTTGATGAACACGTCATTGGCCATACCTCGTTGGTATACACCGTAGGTATCGTTGACACCAATGCCAGGGTCGTTTATGACAACGTACTTCATGCCCATCTTGTGGATTCTGTCTAGGAACTTGAGTAGCTTGGCACGAGGGTAGCTAATGGGACTCAACGTGAAGTCTTTTTTTTGATCCATGTGATCATCGTCGTTCCAAATCACATCGAGAGGGATCTTAGCCTTTTGGTAACTGTCCACAACGTCTTCAATAACTGATAAATTACGGTATCCCCATCTACATTGGTGAAATCCTAGAGCACAAATATTGAAACAAGATTAGTACTATCAAAGATGGTTATAATAAATATGTCACATGGCTAAAACCAAGATTTGCTTGTTCTTTAATATCAACTCAATAATAGAACCGTGGTCCAGTTTCCACCATGGACAAATTATTAAGATCATATAGGGACCAATTAAAAATCGAGAGGATCAACACTCAACAAAAGAGGAAAGCAAAAGAACACGTCTTTACGTTCTTCTTTATCTTTTCTTTTTTCATAAAACCATAATTAGAAAGCGACCTCCATTTATACTGCAACATATCCCACTAAAAGGGTAACCTTTCTAAAAGTTGTGTCGGAGAAAATATCAGATTCTCTTTATGGTGAACTCCATTGCTACATGTGTCAGTTACTACTTACTACAAGACTATTCAACACTTAGTTCAGTTTTAAAAACCAGATATTTTACTACCGAACATAAATCAACACATGCAGAGTTACTACAAAGACTATTCAGCAGATACAGAGTTTAGTTTTAAAGACCAGATCTTCTTTTACTACAGAACATAAATCTAACATAGTTTCTCATTATCAACTGATACGCAAATCTATTTCGCGTGACCACAATCATAATAATTAATCAATAAACATATAAAACAAAATAGTCTTGATTACAGAATCCTAAAATAAACTACTTACTTTATAGTATAAGGTACTCCTAATCTATAAATAATAACAGCAAGTTGTATAATCAAGATATTAACTACCATAATTTATAACTATATTGTAATTAAATCGTTTTATAATTTTATTTTATTACCACAGAAAAATATTAAACTGCGTCACTAACAAGAAACAGAGCAATAAATGTTTTTACCTAGAGACCAATACGGCATAGGAGCAGGCCGTCCGATTAACGAAGTATACTGATCAACGACATCAAGAGGCGAAGGTCCAGCGACGAAGTAAAAATCAAAAACACCTCCAATGACTTTATAAGTCAAAGACGTTCCTCTATAGAACACATCCATACCGTTACTATTCAAAAGCAGAACCGCATGAGCATACGGTTTACCTCCAACGTTCCTCAAATCCATATAAACCGGATGCGAACCGTAAAGATCAGTGTTCAGATTAATAGCCGACACATCCTCCGTGTAGAGCGTGTAAGGCTCGTTAGGGACGAGTTTGATCCCGTTGGCCTGCGAGTTTTCACCTAACCCGTATATGGACGCGTCTTTAGGTAAAGAAGTTGAGATCTCTAGGTACTGGTCCTTGAACACCATCTCACCAAAGGCTGAGTTTGAGCTCGTGTTGAAGAGTGTTTGGCCGTTGGATCTACGTTTCACGGCGAAGCTGAACGGGTCTGCGGTGTAGCTGAAGATTAGCTCCGAGCCGGAGAGTTCTTGAACTGTGATGGGAGATTTTCTTGATTTTCCGATCACTTTTCCGACCGGCGGAGGTTGTTCGCGGGGGAGGAGGTTGTAAGGGACTTCCCATCGTTGCTTCTTGGCGTCTGTGATGTGAACGCGGAGGCGAGTATCGGTCTCGTGTCTGTGAGAAAGATCCAACGGTTAGGAATGGAGGAGGTAGTGTAGGGTGCGAAGTAGAGGATAAAGAGAGTGGTTGGTAGTGTTTTAGTTTTACTTACTTGACGTAGAGGCGGAGGGTGGTGATGTCTGAGCCGTAGATTTTGTTCTTTTGTTTGACTTGGAGATAGCCGATGAAACCACCGTCTGGTGATTCTTCGATTGAGATCAAACGGTAGCCTTTGCCGATGGTGTTGGTGCAGTGGATGGGTGTGAAACAGAGGATTAGAGTCGCAAGAAGAGAAAGAGATGAAAAAACTATTCGTGAAGTGGCCATGGCCATTTTGTGAAGTGATGCTCTACACTCTACAGTGTAGAATGAACAATGAAGAAGACTAGAAGAGAGGAAAAGACCCTCTAAAGAAGTTCTTGATAAGTTGTTGAAACACTAACCGAGGGGATATAAATAGTGAAAAATGCTTAATGATGTCATAATATAACATAAGAATTATACTTCTTTTGTCAGCATAATTTTATACAGTATCTTGTAATTTATGCTCACGTGGACTAAACACCTTGTTATTTTTGATTTAATGATGATGTTCAATTAAGGATTTGAATGGTAAAAACAGATCAAACGGTTCATGCAAATCAAGTAGGACAAGTGCATATTAAGCAAGACAAGTGCAGATCGTGCAGGAGAGATACAGATCAAACGATTTATTATAAATTATGAATGACAACATCAGTTCAAAACTATAGATCATATATTCAAATAATAAAAGATTATACTAAAATATCAAAATAAATATCTTAGATGTTGCAAGATCAGCCGAAATTTATTGGATTTTCCATATGATGTTTATATTTCTTTTATTTTCGTTTTGATTAATCAAAATTATCTTTGAAGAACCAGCATGTTACTAATATTAAAATCTTTGTTGATATTTATATAGAATGATTTATATTTTTTTTGCTGAAAAATATTATGTTTTGTTTGTGACTGAATGTCATATTTATAAGTTTAAAAATGATATGCTTACAATTTTAAAATTGACACAAATAGTATTTAGTGTGAATAATATTGTTTGAGTTAATCAATATATATTATTTACAAAACTAAATAATCTATTTAAAGTTAGTGTTTGCACCAAAATCATTCATTAGTGAAAAAAAACAGATCAACATCATCAAATGTTAACGGGTGAGATCTGCATCTTACTTTTTTTCACAAAAGGATAAAAGATATTGAACTACATGCAAATCTCCTGCTTGAACTTCTTTTAAAAACATAAAAAGATGAATGGCAAAAACAGTGCACAAGAACTGCATAACAGAAGATATGCACTTGTTCTGCAATTCCATTCATAACCTAAGCAACGAGAGTTTGAATTGATCAGAGAAAATCCAAGGATGTGATTTGTTTAAACATGGCTCCATACATTTTGGTCTCTGAATTGAAGCGTGATTCTCGGCTTTGTCAAACTAATTTACCTTGTCAGCTCAACTTCAACGTTAACTAGTAAAACCTTAACTATCTATTCGAGGAAAAAAAGTCTAATATTCTAACTATTTTCAACAGCAAAAATGACAAATAAATTGGCACATGCATAAACATTTCTTACATATAGAAGCATGTATAATGAGTGTTTGAAATTATATGATAGTTTCATTGTTTTACAAAAAGTAATATTATCAATGGTTGGCTTTAAACATTAACAAATTTTCTAGTCTGAAAGTCATAGCATAACTTTGAAACTAAATTAGTTTTACCAATTAAGTGAAAATATACATAACCAGACTAGTTACTCTGCATATATACTGCGCACTAATACAAGTTGGAAAGTACATAAGTTTGAGTATGCTATGATCGTTTAACCATATATGTGTCTTTTTTTTTTTTTTTTTTTGTCAACCGCCCATCTATACCATATATGTGTCTTCTATACCAACCTTGTTTACAATGTTATTATTTCACTTAGACCGGGTCATTACTACAGAGTAAATTATCAAAGGAGCATAAGAAAATGATTCTTTTTTTGTTTGTCAACAAGAAAAATTATTCTAAGATCGATCATAGATGTAGCGTCTCGATTCAGGAGTTGTACATATTGTCTACTAGCACAGTAGTACTAACACATTTTTTGTTTCATTCAGCATTTTAATTTATTAAATCACATAAAACAACTAATCAATCGGTGTATTGACGTGAAGGATACACTAGATCCAATTTTGTATTCTAGATGCATTTGTCATTTGGTTATGAAGTACATTACATCTGGCTTCTTATGTTTTGGAAACATACTTTGAACATCGAACTCACATATAGAATATTTATACTATAATAAAATAATACACTAAGAACTATAAGCCGACATAAATAATAAGACCAAGCTATGAGTTTTTTTCTTTTTTTTTGAGAAGGGGTTTCAAGCTAAATAAGAGTATTTACAACTGTTTTTACTGCTTATTTTTGAAGGTTTTGCATTTCAACATATCAATATTTATTTGGACCCTTGGACAAAAAATAAATTTTTAATATTTATGTTTATTGTAAATTGAAATATATTTTAAATTTTTATCATTGACATCTTTATAAAATTTGTGATAGAAGCAAATTATATACATATAAACTATTTTAGAGTCCATTTTCAATTAAACTTAATAGTATTTTAAAAAAAACTTATATAAAAATATGTATAATTAAAAATTATTAGGCTAATTAACTAATAAGGTCATAGGATATGAGTTTAAATCCGGACGGTTGCACCGTTTGTCTCCCATTTCAATCGTCCTTGAACATATCATTATAGTTTTAAAGAACTAAATAATATACCTTCAAATTAAGAATGCACCATTCACCTTAAACATTTCATTGTAGTTTTTTTTTTTTTTTGAAACACACATATCATTATAGTTTTAAAGAAGTAAATAATACCTCTTCAAATTTAGAATGCACCATTCACCTTTTTAGAGCATTAGTTAAGACTTGAGAGTAATTGTAGGATGCACTATTAGGATTTTAAATTTTTGTTTGCAGAAATTAATAAGTAAAGTGTAAAACAATATACCCGTTATAAATAATGAAGACAATTGATTTATGGGTGAAAGCATCGATGTGGTTCTCGAGGAAAAACGTCCTCAACCAACTCTGGCTCGGTTCGTCCTAATTAAAGAGTTGATTGAGAAATATAGAGTAATTAAGAGAAAAAGAAAAAAGTGAAAAAGAGAAGAGAAATAAAAATGGGAAATAGAGTAAATTTATCAGTGTGTTTTATACTCTTTTAACAATAGGAATATTTCCAATTTATTGTTATTTCACGTCTATAATCATATTTGATGATAAAATTGATCTATTTTATCTATATTTTTCACCTATAATAGAAATTACTATATTTTTTCTATTTATAAATAAAAAATAAAATTACTTTATGTTTTTATTTTTTAAATTAATATTTTAGAGAAATATATTAAAACAATTGCTATCTCTATTACTGTATTTCTCTATTTTAGAGATATAAATAACTAAAGATAAAAAAAATGTTTTTACCTGATTGGTAAGATTTCCGAGTAATTGATATTTTTTTTTCTTTTTTAGTGACATATGATATAAAAATTATTTACAGCAAAAAAAAAATATAGACAGCTACTTTTACACACTAAAAACTATATTATAGTCTAACTATTTCTATAAACCTTACTTCGTATATAAATAACATTTAACACATTAGATATATAATATTTTTACTTTACACGCTTACTACATTCTTTTCATTTCATTATTATTTGGTGTCATTAGAAGAATCCAGTAAACCAACAATCGAAAAGAATATACGCAAATATAATGATCTCGGATCCGCGCTTGCGCGGAGTGTATACAACTAGTTAGTATAGTGACGTACGACTCGGATAATCTCGCTCTTTCTCATCCATACGGCCGTTAAAATGAGATATTTTTCCTGTGTGTCTGAAAGATTTAAATTTGTAATAAAAGAAGAAAGTAGAAAGGGTGGGCCAATGGCGTGAAGAGAGAGTGGGCCGAAAACACGTGGTACGTGCGGCCCACATCACGTGTAGTTTCATGATATTGCCAATCTCTTCCTCCACTCTCGTGATTCCTTCTGCCGCTTATCTCTCTATCACGTTTATGTTTCGGCCGTTTTTTGTGAAGCACCATGCCTCACTTCTGTTCATCAAACAAATATACTATACTACTGTTTAATTCTTTTCTTTTTGAGCACCATGCCTCACTTCTGTAGTTTAGAAATTTAAAATATTATTATTGTAAAGTGATGTGTATGATTTATTTGGATTATTTCTATACTTAAGTCTGTAACAAACAATAGCTTGTTGTTATTGATCAACGGTAAACAAACAGAAAGCAACAGTAGTGTAGTATATTTGTTTACTGTACTTCGTATAATAAATGTCAGTTTATACTTTAAAGTTTCAGTTTATTCGGTGATTTTGATCAGAACTTAGAGAATTATTTTAGTTTAAGTAAAAGGCCCAATTTCTGATAAAGCAATAACTTGAGGGCCCAAATTATAAAACAGAGACGTCTTAGATTTGATGCGTTAAAACAAGAGCAGGGCCTAGCTCGTTAAGCATATACAAGAATAGAGCCCAAATTGTAGTGGCAGAAACA